ATGGTTACAATGTTAATAATAATAACAATGATAATACGACAATGATGATAACGAAACGATGATAATAAAGATATTATGAATAAAAAAATAACAGTACTGATTAAGTACATAATGATAATGATCATGATGATGATTGAAATAATGATAATAATAATGATAACAAAAATGATAATAATGATAATGATAACCAAAATAATAATACTGACAATATCGGAAACAACAATAGCAATAATGATATTAATAATAATGAGAATGAGGAAAATATGACTGATAATAACAATCTTATTAATGACCGACAATAAATTAAAAAATATCAAGACAAGAAATAATGAAAAGCATAACATAAATAATGATAATAATGATAATAATCAAGATAATTATAATGATAAGGACAATAATAATAGAATAATGATAACAATAACATAAATAATAATAATAGTAATGATAATAATAATAGTGATAATAATAGTAATGAATGATAATGATAATAATAATGATAACAATTATGATAATGATAATAGCAATGATGATAAAAATAACAATAATGATAACATTAATAATGATAATAATGACTGATAACAATAGCAATAACAATAATGATGATAATAAGATAATAATAATTGATTATAATAATAAGAAAAATAATAACAATAACGATAAATAACAGTAATCAAAACAATAATAGATATAATATTGTTAGAAATAAGAATAATAATTATGGTAATATAATAATAATTATAACAATAATAATGTCTGCATTAGATAATTCATGGAACTGATAATAACAATGATAATGCTAATAATAATATAAATGAAGTCGGTGATTATGATAATGATAATAATAATAATGATAGTGATAATAATAATGGCAACATACAGCAACAGCATTTACAATAACAACAATATTACTACTAATAACATTGACAATAACAATGATAATGATAATAATGGTAATATTAAGAAAAATATGAATAATGAGACTAATTATAGTAATGATGTTAGTAATGGCAATCAAAACAATATAAACAAAAAATATAAGAAAAATAATGATAATGATAAAAATTATAACAATAACGAGAATATTAACAATAATAATAGCAATAATGATAATGGTAATAATGATGATAACCATAATGATAATAATAATGAGGAGGTGGAGGATAATAAAAATGATATTAACAACTATAATGACAATGATAATAATAACAAAAGTAATAAAAATAATAACAACAATACTGATAATAAAACAGCTATAACAGCAATTATTATTATCATCATCATTATTATTATCACCATTATTATATATTATATCCATTATTATAGGTATGATAATAACAACAATAAAAAATAATAATGCTATTAACGATAATGATAATAATAACATCTACAACAACACCAATAATAATAACAATAGGTAAAGTTAATGATAAAGATGATAATAATAATAATAATTATTATCATTATTATAATAGTAGTACCAATAATGGCTATAATTGTTTTAACAAAGACATGTTGATAAGAAGAATGATAACATTATTTATAATAATAGTGATAATAATGCTAATAAATATGATAATAATAGTAATGATAATGATTATGATATTATGAATACTTGTAATCATAATGATAAAAACAATAATAAAAATAATAATAATAATAACATGAGTGACAGTAATAATAATCATCATAATAGTAATAATAACAATAATGATAACAATATTAGCAAATAAATAACCGTAATGATAATGATGACAGAAATAATATTAGAATTAATAACAAAATAATATATTAAGATTGATGATGAAAACAACATTAATAATAATAAAAACAATAATGATAATGATAATGATGATGATGATAAAAATAATAATAAGAATATGAATACTACTACTATTGCTACTATTAGTACTTTTACTAATCACAGCAATAATAATGATGATAACAATAACTGGAGTGACATGTGATATCAATATTAATTGTAGAAATGATATTACTATCATTATTACTGGTAGTAGTATCAAAAATGACAATAATAGTAATAATTTTACTAATAATGACGTAGTAATAATAATAATGAAAGTAATTACGTGATAATAAAGATAACAATGATAGTGATGATTCATTAAATGAAATAATCTTAATACCAACAACAACACAAAACGACAACAGTGACATAATAAATGACAATAATTTTACCGACAGTGTTGGTGATATTGATATTAATATCAATGTCACTATTATTATCATTATCATTATAATAATGATTACCACCTTTCTCCTTACAATCACCATGAAATTTAGTATCGATCATCATTAGTATTATTATTGTTATGATCTTTATTAATACTAGAATTATTGCTAATACTCTAGTCATTATTATCATTTTTGTAATCATTACTATTGATATTCTCATATCGTTATTGTTCATATTAAAATTAATATTATCATTATTGTTCCTAATATTATTATTCCTATTTTTACTATTATTATCCTTATCATC